GTAACTGGGGCAACCCAGTCAGATGGTTGGGTTATAAATAATAAAATTTTCATCATAACCTACACTTTTAAGTGCATACTTCAAAACTTCTGGTGGTACAAGCTGTTCACCAGTGGAACAGAGTGCCTCAGGAAGGCTGACTCTTGTGGGAGGTTTTTAATTAGAGGCTGTTTGACCATCTATCAGGAATGCTGGTGCAGCAGTGAGCATTGGCAGAAGGTTGGACTAGATGACATTCAAGTCCCTTCCTGCCCTGTGATTCTATCTTAGTATATGCCTACAAACATAATGAAGTGATCCCAAAAAGTAGCAGTTGACAGGGCTGTGGCATACCAGGAAGGAGGGGGTCCTCCTCCCCCTCCCCATTCGCCAGTACAATGCTGGTGACAGGAGGTCAGGTGAGCACCTTTACCTTGCCAGCTGCTATGGTGAGCTCCCGTTGCTCTTTCCCAGCTCCTGCCAACCTAGCAGTTTGAAAGCACACCAGTGCAAGTAGATAAATAGACACCACTGCGGCGGGAAGGTAAACGTTTCCGTGCACTCTGGTTTCCATCACGGTGTTCCATTGCACCAGAAGCAGTTTAATCATGCTGGCCACATGACCTGGAAAAGCTGTCTGTGGACAAATGCCGGCTCCCTTGGCCTGAAAGCGAGATGAGCACCACAACCCCATAGTCGCCTTTGAGTGGACTTAACAGTCCAGGGGTCCTTTACCTTTTACCTTTATTTTACCTTACTGGTAAAGCTTATACCCAGAACAAACTTAGTTGGTCTCTAAGGTGCTGCTGGACAATTTTTTATTTTTTTTATTTATTTCGACTGAGTCAGACCAACACGGCTACCTACCTGAATCTTACTGACCTTAATTCTGATCCCAAAGGATCTTTCAGAACCATGGCTTGTATGTTTTAGCCTGGTTTTTCAGGAACCAGATCTATCCTGTGACTTGCTAGGATGGCCATTAACCAGGCATAGCTAGTGAAAGGCAATTCCACACTCTAAATATTTCTGAAAGAGGCTCATTATTATTCTCTTTCTCTTTTTCTATACATACACACATACATTGTTGTTGTTTTTTCTTCTCTCTCCATATCTCTTGCTACACACCTGCCTCCTGGGCAAGTGTCACGGTCCAGTTCACAGGCGATCAAAGTCCCAGCTGGGGACGTTGGGACCGGGGGCAAGATGGCAGGGTGGGAGCAGGAACGGGAGTCCAGAATCCAGGAGTCAGGAAGCCAAGAGTCCGAGGGTCAGGAAGCAAGGAACCACGAAGTCAAGGGTCCGAGGATCAAGAAGCGAGGAGTCAAGAACCAAACACAGCAAAGCAGGAAACATGTTGCTGTAGCAGAGAGCCGAAGGGAAATGCTGACCTTATATCCCTTCCCAGCTCTTGCCACCAGGTGCTGTGAGTTACCAATCGGCCTCACCTGTGCGGCCACGCCTTGCCTCTTCAGAACAAACTTAGGAAGGCCCCAGTCCTGCAAAGTCCTACTGGTCACAGGGCCTGGCTCCTGCATGCACTCCTGACAGCAAGTATTTTTGGCAAAATAAACAAGAACTGGGTTTTAGATGCAGCTGACCAGTTGTGCAATTAACCGATGGAGACTTCGCATTCACAGAGTAAAGATGTGAATCAATCATAGGTTCTGTCTACTCAGATTAATTTATATTCAGATCTATTAATTAAGAAAAGCAGTTGGTTGAACTAAGTTACTTGATAGATCCTTCTCAGATTGACACATGATTATTGACATGCGAAAAGATTAGTATAAATAAATCTTTCATCTTTACGCTACTTAAATTAAATAAGAGCCATGCTTGATGGAATACCGCCAATAACTTTTAGATCATTAATAATCATCAACGTATCAATGAATAGGTCTGGAATCCTCTTAGATCAGCACAAATCAGAAAAACAGCACCAGACAGACAATCTATAGCAGTCATTTACGCTATGGCCTCAGAACCATTAAAACACACCCAAATCCCTTGCTTAACGGGGGCTATCCTTGACCTTTATTTAGATGTCTGAAAGCACTTGGTAAATAGAATATCTATTTAATTAGTACTTGGCTATCATTTCACTTTTTCTAGGGTGAACAGCCAAGGAGGCTGAAATTCTAGAAGAAGGATTGAAGAAATATTTGCACTATAAACATACTGGTTTTATACCAGCTATCATGGCTTCACTGCCCCCTAAAATCCTGGGAAATACAGAAAATTATCTTGGAAATCACTAATCAGGATCAATATCTGATTACTTTACTTTACTTAGCGAAGTTCTATCAGACTCCTTCCCTTCCCCAGGGCTACAACTGTTTGCACAAAGATACAGCAACTTGGGTTTTCAGAGGATTTCCTGGGTGCTGTGGCTTTTCCAGTAGCCAAGGCCATGTTAAAAACTAGGCTGTGGGACATAGATCGCCAGGAACTAATTTCAGCTGCAGAAAAAACACGTTCCCCTCTTTATTTTCGACTCTCTTGGGCGCAGGAATTGAACCTCAATTATCTACAATTTTCGTTTAACCTGCAAGAAAGAAGGGCTTTTTCGCTGGCTAGGTTCAATTCTAATCCTTCTAACCGCTTTTGGGGTAGGTTTGCGGGTATGGCAGGAGATAGGATCTGCCCATATGATGCCCATCTGGTAGAAACTCTAGCTCACATGGTCCTTAAACGTAAAATGTATGATGATCTCCGCCAACAATTCTTAGACCAACTATGTATCCCAATATGGAAACCAGAGATGGAGGTTATACGCTTCTTATTACAGGGGAGAGACCAGGAGCTCACCAAGACAGTAGCTAAGTTCCTCTATTTGATTTTTTTTGTCACCGAAGTACACTATAGGATCCTGCCCTTGCTGGAGACCCACAGAAGTGAAATAGATTGCTCGCCTCTTCTTCCCTTTGACAAATGGGATCATCTTAATAGATGGTCCTGGTTGCAGGCAGGCTCTCAACCTGGTTCCCCCCCACCCTGGGTGGAGCTATCTGTTGGAAAACTGTGTACGTGCAGCTACTCACACAGAGTCAATTAAGGTTTGGCAGACAGCCAGAAGGCAATCTGAAGGAGTAAGTACCTGGTGATAACAGAGACATGGAGACCGCTCCCTGATTGGTCAAGCTCTCTGAAGGGAGTGATAATTAATAGCCTACTAACTGTTAGTTCAGAGTTCAGTGTTGGAGTTCAGTGTGTCAGTGTAGGAGTTGTGAGTTGTGTCAGAGAGAGCTAGCATAAGATCCGTGTTCTGTTCCTGCAAATAGTCCACTGTATATAATAAACACCTAACTACAAGTTCCTGGTTCCTGCTTCGTCTATCTTGTCTGCAGCCAAGTCGCCAATTGCTTCCGTGAATTCTGCGTGTACTCTGCTAGGTCTGGCTAAGGTCCTGCAACTAGTTGGAAAGTTGCGAAACACCAATAGGTTTTGCCAATACTATCGCCCTCACGCCGGGGTGGCACCACAATCACCCAGGGCTATTGCCCAATCATGTCATTGGGTGATAGTGGGGGAAAGTATAAAAGCGGGAGCGCGACGTGTGCCAGGCTCCTGCTTTGCGCTGCCGAACACCCGCCCACCCACCCTTTAATTTAGATCCTTTGGCCTTGCTTTGGACTTTGGTTGGTTGCCCGGCTTGAGTCGGGGGCTGGGTAGGATTTTTTTCCCATTTGGCAAATTGGCACGGGCCACTTGGTTTTTGCCTACCTCTTAGCAATCATCACAACTTGGCAAGGTTTGGCGTTCGGCATTGGCTTATGGTGAATGGGGGAGGGGAGGACGGCCATCGCCTGCCCCTCCAGTTTCAAGGGTATTCCGCTAAAGGAAGCCGGGGCCTGGTTTCTGTCCGAAGTCCTCTTGAAGGGTGAGGGCCATGCCAGGCCTCTGGGAACACCAGGGGAGGTGCAGGCGGGTTCCCCCAAAGCAATTTCCCTTTGGGTGGTTTACCCTTACAGACTTCCTGCAAAGTGGGCAGAAGTCAGATATAGTCTTGCCAATGTCTAAGCCAATACTGCTCTAATTCCTGTAATCAATAAAGTTGTGGCCAAATTTTTGCCCAAAAACCTTAAACAAAATATGCATGTCTGTGTGAATTTATTTACCCTAATGGGGGGTCGGCTTGAGGGTCTTGCCACGCAAATGACTGTACTGTTGAAATGGCGACGAGATCACACCGTGCCTATTTATTCTGAATGTTTGTAAGTGATGCCAATAAAGGTTTGATGATGATGATGATTTTCTTTTCTTTTAATCTCTGTCTCACTTCTTGATCGTGAAGAGAAGCAAGTTATGATTATTTTTTCCAGCTCCGTTAAAAAATACAATCATCACACATTGCACAAATAGTACTGTATGCATCAATGTTTTATTATGTATTTTGTGTTTTTGTTTTGTATTTTTATGCTGTGAACTGCCCCGAGATCTTTGGATGAAGAGTGATACACAAATTTAATAAATGAATAAATATAAAGACTCCAGATTTCCTTAAGAAACGAGCACATTTGTGGTTTTATATTCCGATTTTATTCTCTGAACCTCCCTGAGATCTATGGTTATAGGATGGCATGTAAATTCAATAAATAAAATAATAATAATAAATACTTACAATATTATGCAGCAGAAATAAAGTACTGCATGGTTCTATGATTCTATGGCATTGCGTGTCGAGGTCCCCAAGCCACCCCCCAAATAACTCACAACGCACACTTAATTTTTGTTTAAGGTTTTTGGCATAATTTTGGCCACAACTTTATTTAAATACAAAACCGTGAGTGGTTGTTTAGGCATTGGTTAAGACTATCTGTCCCCCGCCTGGGGACAGAACTGACTTCCGGGCACCACCGAAAGACAGTGCGGGGGAAAGCAAGTCGGAGAGAAATGGAGCTGGGTACCACAGACCCTCAATTCTCATCCGCATGCTCCCGAAGGCTTGCCGGCCCTAGTCCCATTCCAGGGATTGGACGAAAAGATGGCAAGCCCCAGGATTCCTTTAACGGAATTCCCTTCCGCAGCAACCATGGAGGGGCAGGCCCAGCCTATCCTAACCCCTCCTCCACCAATTTATAACCAATGCCTAACCGCCAATCGAGCCCTTTACGCTCGCCGCCAACCACTCACAATCCCAACCCAACCTTCAACCTTGCAGTTACCGCATCCAACCAAACATCATTCCCAGTACAGAGATGTACTCCATCATTGCGGTAAAGGGCCAGAGCCTTGAAGGTAATATCCGGGCGGGAAATAACCAATCCACCCAAATCCGCCACCTTCTTACACACTGCAGAATTAATGAGCTTCCTGGCCCTTTCAGCAGCCTCAGGTCGAGAGATGCCGTGCCAATTGCGCCTTTGCAGCAATTGTGACCAAAATATTTTAACTGTGGGTATTAAGGTCACCAATTCACCCAAGTCTCTCTGAATCGTGGTGCGCAAAGTAAAGCAATCATAAGTTGCCACATCGTTCTCCCCCAGCTGAACCACAATTGCCATGGGGGGGGGCCATCCGAAAGCACCCTCTGCTTAATTAGCGGGATGAATTCGCTCCACTGCATTCTGCGCCTGGACATCCACAACACCTGCACATGCTGCGGGAGGCCAAGACCCAGTCCCCTTCCAGACTGCCTAGCTCTGATGCCAGCCCAGTAAACGATGCTGTGCCCCACAATCCAGATGCGGACTGGAGCTAGAAACATGGGCAGGAAGGCCGTGATGGCGCCCCCAGTCCAGACTCGTCAGGGTGCTTGCCAGCTCAGTGCATGATGCTGTGGCCGACAATCCAAATGCGCACAGCTGCTCCTATGAAAAAAGGAATAACAGACAGGCATCAGCACAGGCATCATTGGCGATGCTTCCTGACATAACCTTTGTCAGCGTCAGACTTCCAATGACCCTTATTCACAATCCTGTCTACTAACAGGCCCCAATGCGCAGCCTTTGCAGCAGCACCTATTTGGAAGGAATGAGGCGTGTTCAGCGGTAGGCAAGCTGCAGGCTGCAATAACTGGCGCACGACGTGAGCAATTAGATGCCTGTCGAACCGAAACCCATTTCTGTGCACTAGGATCGAGCCAGCCCCCAGGGGAACGAAAAGCCAAATATTTTTGGTATCCAATAACAGGACAAGGGCCCACCTCACCTGTGACTGGAAGCCTGATGGTGGCAACCCTGCTCACTAGGTCTGACTTAGAGCTCCAGACACTTATGACAAGCTCCAAAGCAGATAGGAAAAGTCCTGAGGCAATAAGCCTCCAAACTCTCAGCCCCGTGCTGGCTCCAACACAATTTCCCAACCCTCAGTACACCAAAATTACAATGGAATACTGAAATAAGTCTCGTCTTGATCTTGAACCAGCCAACAAGTCTCAACTTGTTGCAGATACTGCATAGGTCAAAGATTGACCGGCTTCCTGCCTGCTGTCCTGTGAAGGTCAGAGCCTATTCCAACCTTCTGAGACCCTGCGCATGACACACTTTTAGAAGGGTCTCTGAAAATTAAAGCTTTACTCTAGCAGACATTGCAGCGGACTGAATTCTGATAGTTTTAACACTGCATCCTATCTGCAGCAGGTGGGCGAATTACTGCAGGTCCTGCTCAGAGGATGGGGGCAGGTTCCTCTGAATGGCTGAGGACTACCAGCTAAATTTTAAGAAATCAGTCCAGGCCTCATAAGACCTGAAAGCGGATGGGGAAACGTAAGCTACGATTCCTCATAATTATTAATTGTTGCCAAATGCCACAGGAGCTCCAGAAAAATAGCTGGGTGTCCAGAGCCCAGGATCTGAAGCTCTCCAACTGAAAAACGGGATAGAGCCGCAGCAAAAACATTAGATGATCCCGAAATAAAGTGAGCAGAAACGCAATATTAAACCTTAAGCAGTGCGAAGACTCTGCCAGAGCATGAAGACCGTTTTGCCAGGACTCTCACACTGCCTGGTTATCAGACCAAGACAGACCTGACGGTCCCTAAACTCCTCAGTCCAGATGTGCGCTGACACTACAATGAGGAAAACTCAAGAAAAGTTAGGTTACATGTGATTGCCTTGCCCTGCCAGGCTCAAGGCCACTGTACATGATGATGAAGGGACACCGGGCCATGAGACCACCTGGCCAAGCAGGAATGGAAGGGGCAGCCTGGAGCAACCACCCTGCATGCAAAATTTAACCGACCTAGGAATGATAGGATCTGACAAAGCAACACTTGCTTCAGAGGAAGTATTACAAGAATAACATCCTTCAAGGCAAACAGCTTTTCCACAGGCAAGCAGATGTTTGAGCAACGGTATCCAGCTAGCCCCCAAATACATTAAAAGGGGCAGTAGGAGCCACTGTCCTCCACTGCCAACAGAACACCCAGCTCCTCAGGGAATAAAGGGGCATCTAGTAAGCTAAGCAGAGGCTGGTGTCACATGAACCAGCCAGTAAAATAATCCACATAACGATACCCCCAGTTAAACGAGTCTTGACTCGCAATGTCCAATCCAGAAAGGCGCTAAAGGACTCAAGTGCTGCACAGCCTATTGAGCAACCAACTGGCATCGCCTTATCCATATAAGGACCATCCAATTAAAGCCTAACTACTTAAAATCTTGAGGGTGAACCAGCAGCAGCCTAACAGCCGATTCAATATCACATAATGCCAACAAGGCACCTCTTCCAATTTGTTGGTAAGCTCAACTGCCTGATCCAAAGATGCATATTTCACGGAACAATTCCGGAGGGATAGCATCATTCACTGAGGTGCCTTTGGGGTGCGATAAATATGGATCAGATGGAATTATATGGGGCTTTCTTAGGGACGATCCCCAATGGGGATAAATGAAAATCGGGACTAGAAGGAGAATCAAGGGGATCCCACCATACGTCCCAATGCAAGCTGCTTCCTAACCTTCTTTCTGGCTACCACAGACTTTCTGGCTACCACAGACTCTAACTGACTTTTGAGTTGCTGTATTCTGAGCCACTGGCTGAAAAGCCAGAGGAATCCTGAAACCTTGGGGAAAACCCTTCCCACAAGCACAAAGCTACTGACGCATCTAGATAACCTTTTAGCCAGGCTTTAAAGGGAGATATTTTTATGGAAATATGGGCGAGAGGTATTGAGTTGTTGCTTGCCAGCCCCGCTTGGGCAAGAAGCCCTGCCTTGTGTTGCCACCATGATGTGTAAATTTACAGGGCCAACACTGGCCAGAGACCCTAAAGAAGTCCCAACAAAGCTGCCACCGGGCCAGCTTCCTGCATACCAGCTTCAGGTTCTATTGCTCAGGGAATTTCCATTTGAAATGTGGAGCTGCGCAAGTGGTCCACATGTCCCCGTCCCTGCGATCCTAGCGAGCTAAGGGGATGATGGCAGCCCTGCGTCTAACATTCCCATCATAGTGAATTACCACTTATAGAATAGTGGGGTTGGAAGGGACTCCTAGGATCATCTAGTCCACTCTCCCACAATATCATCATCATCATCATCATCATCATCTATTTGTACCCCGCCCATCTGGCTGGGCTTCCCAGCCACTCTGGGCAGCTTCCAACAAAATATTAAAATACAGTAATGCATCAAACATTAAAAGCTTCCTAAACAGGGCTGCCTTAGATATCTTCTAAAAGTCTGGTAGTAGACATCTGCTGGGTGGGTGTACCGCAGGGCAGGAGCCACTTACCAGAAAGCCCTCCACCTGGTTCCCTGTAACTTGGCTTCTCACAGTGAGGGAACCACCAGAAAGGCCCTCGGCGCTGGACCTCAGTGTCCGGGTAAAGTGATGAGGGAGCATGCAGCTGTCCCATACAGGGACCAATCCTGCAACCTAGGCATTACCGGCACCATACGCTGACCAGCTGAGCTATCCAGGATGCTCCCTAAAGACCTGGAACAGCCTCACCCTGACCCCTGGAGAGGTCCAAGGTGATGTCTGAATCATCATCAGAGCCCAGTGATGATTTACCTGCAAGGAGGTGTAAGCATCATCCCTGCTATGCTTTTTCCTGCCTCTGAAGACGCTTCCTTCCTGAAGAAGGCACCTGGGGCATCAACAAGTCATCCTCTGCAGGAGAGGCAAGCTCTGGAGGCATCTGCAAAGGCCCTGTCATAGTCTGCGAAAAGAAAAAACCTAAACAATGTGAGGAACAGGTGAAACCAATGTTTTGTGCACCACATGGGGACGCTATTCAGACCAGAAACGCTGCCAGAGGCCATCAAATTCTAGGGGCCAAGCGGGCCAAGCCCTAGGATCACCTGCTAGGCCAGACATAAATGTTTCCAATGAGATAACAAACTCGAGGCAGCCCACCGCATGTCCAGGTACCCCTGCTTGCCCTTTAGAGGGAAGCACCTCCTCAAGAAACCCAAAGTTCTTTTTGGGAGCAATATCACAAATGGGCCAAACTACCCAGCAACAAAATAGTCCAAAAGGAGCAGCTTGTTTTGCCTTGTTATAACAATGGCTAAGTGAGGGATATGAACCCTGTCTCCCAGGTCCTAGTCCTGTACTCTAGCCACTAAGCCACAATGGCTTGTCTCTAAAATGGCAGTCGCCACTATCAGGGAAAATAAACTTGTTCAGAAACAGCATAGTTAAAGAGCATACAAAGAGTGCTCATTGGAGGCACAGAGAGCCTCTGGCTCCACTCTGTCTGCCTAAGCTATACACTAGCAACAAGTGAGCCTGCAAACAACAGATACATTCTTATAGAGAGAATGAGTCACATGTTACAGAAACTTAACAATTCACTGTACTGCTAACTGTAGCAGGCTTAGGCTTGAATGATATGTGCAGGCCGTGATGGCCTCCCTGCTTCTGCTCTCTGCCTTTTTTGTCTCATTGCAATATTAAAGGAACTCAAAATAGTGCTCCCGCCCAAGGCTAAATTAAAACTCGGCCAACAGCACTGCAATCACCCAAAATAAAGCCAACCTATGAGGATACTATAAACGAAAGTGATTCCAGGTAAGCTGGGAATTTACTGTACTGCTAACTGTAGCAGGCTTAGGCCTGAATGATATGTGCAGGCCGTGCAGGCCGTGAAGGCCTCCCTGCTTCTGCTCTCTGCCTTTTTTGTCTCATTGCAATATTAAAGGAACTCAAAACAGTGCTCCCGCCCAAGGCTAGATTAAAATTTGGCCAACAGCACTGCACGCACCCAAAATAAAGCCAACCTATGGGGATACTATAAATGAAAGTGATTCCAGGTAAGCTGGGAGCAGCCCTGGCTAGCCCCACAATTAAACAGGCGAAAATGGGGAAAAACTTTTTGCAAAAGAAAGCCCCTAATGGGGGCTCTCTCCCTATTGGGAAAGGCAAGCCCAGGAGGATTATGCACAGGCAGCGCTCACAGGAACAGGGAGAATCTTCCCACAGGGCAGGGTAAGGGGTGGGGTGGGAAATCAAACAGAAAAAAAGGGGAATTAAATTAATTAAGGGACTAGAGAAGATTAAAAAGAAGGGGAAAATAAAGAAATGTAACCAGACAATGAGAAGATCGCTCCACTGTCTTCCAGATGGTCCAAGTGCTCCAGGTGATCCATTGCACGCAGCAAAGAGAAAGCTCCAGGCTGCGTGCAGAGTATTTAAACATTTTACCCCTCCCACCAAAATTGCAACATAACTTTTACCCCAGCAACCCAGTGAACCAATCACTGCCCCAGGCCATCTTTAGAGACCCTGCCTGGTAACAGAGGGG